TGCTGTTTCTGTGGCCCTTTGTGTCCTTGTGTAGGTGTTTGTCTCGTCTGTCTGATCTTGTGTCTGTCTTGTCCAGTTCTCCCTGCAGTTTCTTCCTGTGTGTCTGTTTGTAGATGAAGGGGCTGAGGATCAAGTGGGTCCTCTACACAGGTTCCCCAGCCACGAACCTGCCCCCAGCGGGGAGAGGCGCAGACTTCTAGCCCCCTCCATCTCGGTGTCTGTGCCTGATGATGACCCTTACAACTCCGAGGAGGAGTACTATGAGCACCCTTTGTTCAGCTCAGAGTGGACCACCTCTAGTGTGCTCCCCAGTGTCACGGCGCAGAGTGCAGAGGCCCACTTAGGCCAGGAGAAAGGTGAACCAAGCATGGTCCCCATTTGCTCCTCCTCCCCAGCTTGCAGCTTGGACCACGTGCATCATGTTAAGTGTGCCTTCCCATGCGGTGGGAGGGACAGGAGCCTGTTTTCTCCACGTGAAAGTGAAGTCCCTATATAAGTTGTATCCATCCAAATGCCTCAGTAATCTACATAAAAGACTCCTTACTTGAGGCATGTGCGGATTCCTTTTTCTATATCATTGCTTCTGAGAAGCAAAGGGAGAAGGAGAGAGAAAGAGAGAAGCAAAAAAAGTTCAATTAAAATATGACTCCTTTCTGTTCCCTGTCAGTAAATCAGTTGGGAAACGACATATTCTTACCCAAACCAAAGAAGATGTACCAAAATATTATTTCTTTTCCTCCTTGGATAAATAATATTACTAGGACCAGCTTAAATAGAATTAGCCTTCTTTCTAGTGCTATATTAATAGGATAGCTCTTTAAAAGAGAAAGACTGAAGAACCTTTAAAGCAGAATAAATGTTGTGAAATGAATTGATTTCCCCGTATCACTTAATCATTTACAGAAACTACAGAGACTTCCCCAGGTGACTAAATCTTGGCTCACATCAGTAGAGCTCGGCTAAAATGAAGGAAATGATTCAAAGCCTTCATCATTCCAACCTCATAAAGCTGGGAGAGTCCAGTGTATAACTGGCCATAGTGAGGATAAAATAAGTAGGCAATGGGCCTATTTGAATGGGCTGCAATTTGTCTCATTCTAACTAGGTAGTTTTGTAAAGGAAAAAAACAGTACAGCTAAATATATTTTTGCTTAGGTGAAGCGTTTATTTTCACAAAGGACAATATTCAATGTGAGCGCAGGTAGTTCCAAAGCAATGAGAAATAAGCTTACAGCTCACTAACTGCAGTCATGATAATAAGCTTCTTCAAGGGTCCTTTTGAAAACAAAGAGCACCAATGGCTCGGACACTCCGGTAGAGAAATATAAGACAGATTAACTGAAACTAAGTTCTTCTAGTAATGCAAACTTACAACAATTTTCAAAATATGTTAATTTTTGAATTAGAAACAGGTATGGTTGAAATAAACATGATTTGTACAAATCGAGAAAATGGAAAGCTAAAAATTTCCATGAATTTGAAAACATGTAAATTAACTTGATTAGACTCTATCCAATAAGGTGACACTAGTAAAGGCGCTATATTAAAAGTCTTTTAATTGTAATCAGAATCTATGCCATAAAAATTTCCTTAAAATAACAAGTTAAAAACCGAATATTTAATATTTTTAATTTACATAATTAAATTATAAAAATGAAAGTGTCTGAATGCTAAATGTGAGGAGACAGATGAAGTAGCTTTCTCTCTCTCTCTCTTTTTTCCCCTGAGGGTGTTAATATTTTTCAAGAAAAGATAATTTCTTTCTTTTCTATCTGTAGCCTTTCCCACAGGGCCATTTAAATAATGTACAATTTTTTCATAGGAATTTCATAAGGATCTTCCATTTACAGAACTATAAAGCAGCTTATATATTTCTCTCTAATTTCTTAAGTGATAAAATGGGATTTATTTTTACTGGCATTTGAAGTGTAAATGAGAAACAAATGAACATGATAATTCATAAACTTCATAAGTTTGCTTTTTATATCTTACATGTTAACAATTTTCTATGTGATATACATCTTTTGGGGGGTATTTTAGCAGTTTGGTTGCCACTCAATTAATTTTCCTTGGTGATTTTGTTTTGAATTGCAGAAATGAGACATTATTGCTAATGTGCATATTTTCTTTCTTAGTGTCAAAGAGAACCATACATGAACTACATTACTAATATTTCAGGGAGTTAAACAATATAACAGTTGTGTCCCAGAAGTAGAGTTTTGCAAAGTGTATGGTTTAAATTTTACCTTGATCTTATTTTTCAAAATATTTTACTTATTCCTTGAAAATTTTCATTCTCTTCAACATATAATGCAATGAAGGTAATACAGATTGGCTTAGGTAGCCCTTTACCTTGTAAATACTAAATAAATTATATTTTAAATAGTTTTGATGAACTTTGTGATAAAGCTGTTTAAGTGATTGGTTGGATATTATTTTGAGGAAAGGCTTTTTTATTCCTAAAAATTTCTTTAGCAAATTTAGCACATTTTAAATAAAACAGTCAGGAATTCTTATATAGGGGCTTCCTGCATTGGAGAAAACAGCACATGTCTAACAAATTTAAAGTTTTTTTTTTTTTTCCAGTACATTAATACATTCATCTTTTCACCACCATCTGTTATCCGGCAGCACCATCTCTTACTTCCAGCAAACTTTCCACATGCGTGCGACTTACTGCCATTTCCCCTAAGGGTAATTGATCAATAAAACCCTTTCAGCTCCCAAATTTAAAAAAAAAAAGGCTTTTAATGAGACTTTAAAAGTCACCACTATTAGCTGACTACGCATGATAATTTTCCAACCCGTATATGCTGTGTGTTGCATTGGAATATTAATTTGCTCATCCAATGGTCAAAGAAAAAACACCCATTCCAATGGAGCTGAAAGTGTTCCTTGAATAGTATTTCTGTCGTTTTGTGTATTGTTCTGTGGTCATGATGTCAACATCTTTCTCATTCCTAAGAAGAAGAAATTCTAGAGAGTCGGAAGGCTGAGGAAGAGAGACCTGCTGCTCTTCCTGGGAAAGAGTGTGGGGCTACTAAGTCCTCAGATCAGCCCAAGGGCCTCAGTGAGGGCCAAGTGGAGTCTAGTGCGGAGGCCCCAGTAGTTTCCGAAGAGAGTGCCCGGGCAGGGGCCACACATGAGAAAAGTGTCAAAGAGGTCAAGGAGGTGTCTCCAGAAGTAAAAACCCCTTCCTCTGCCGGGGAAGGTGTGTCTTTCTCAGGATTTGCATGTGTTATGTTGCCAATGATCTCTCCAGCGGCTTACCAACCTGATGCCTTTTCAACGCTATTTAAATCATCGCTGGGTCTTCTCATGATAACAAGACCGCTGTTTGGGGCTTAATGAGCAGAGTGTGTGGCTTGCGCAGGTGTTGTGTGGCAGCTTGGTTTTCCACTGCTGCAGCTGATTCCTGGTTTTCCTTTGCCATGATACAATACGCTTTGCAGCCAGGCTGATGATGCTGTGTGAGTTTTGTTTTGTTTTGTTTTTTTTCCCCGCCCCTCATCTCAAATGTTTGCCAGTCACATTGCTAATACATGTATATTTTTGTTTTTATTTTTGGGACAGCAATTCATATGCTTTTATTTCAAATTATACAGTTGGATTTTGGCACATAAAGGCTTAAGTGGTAGAATCGTTTTGTTTGCAACTGCAATGTGCTATACTTTTTATGCTTCAATGAATACTGGTTTGGTTTTCTCAAGAGCTCCTGCTGTTGCTTCTCATGTCATTTTCTCTCCATGGCAGTCAACCCCTTTGACCATCCCCATATCTCTTCAGTTTTCATTCATGTAACCTTTATTAGAAGTTCATAAAGTATTTTTTTCTATTGTTACAACAGGACACACAAGTATGTAAGGCAATGATGATTCAACATTTGCTCTTTGAGAGATCATTGAATTGTATTATATTTCCCCAAATCTTTTCCAGATAACTACTTTTAGCTCTAATGACCAAAGTGAAATACCTTTGACCTTAAAATATAAGTGGGACTCTAAAGCCTTTTGGATTGGTGAATAAATAAAAATAAAAATGTGTCATTTAATATCTGTGAAGCATCTTTAAAGCCAATACTGGTCAATGCTTCACCAGTTGGTCATGTTCCAGGGAATGAGGTCATGACCAGGAAGAAAGAGTTATTTTTATAGTTGGCTCTTTTAAAAATCTTGTTACTCATATGACTTCCTCATATCAATGGTGTAATTCAGATTTTCTTACATCTTTCATACAGACTAAGTAATGATTAGGAATTAAGAATTTTAAATACATGAGAGAAATTGGCTTGCCAATTCTTAGCTCATATCATATAAAATCGATAGCAAATATATACTTATATTCCTGAAATTTAATCTCAGATGAATTCTAAAAATTTATGCCAGTAACCTTTATATGCCCCCAAAATTGGTCCTGGCATTTTGTTGGTCAAGTTAATTGAAACTATTAACATTATAATATTATGAATTACTTTGCCGTCTGTCCATGGCCTGCCAATTCATTTTTAAATGATAAAACCAATTAAAAAATTCAGTAGAAATCAATCCTTATCTATATTTAGTCCTTGACATATATTCTTTTGTACCCTAATGTTAGCTACTTACTCAATATTCATTAATTTATAACCTTTATGTTATAAATTTGCTAAATTCATATATGGCAACCTTTTTTCCTACTATAATACCCATCACATAATGTTTAGGAGAGACCAAACAAATAAACAAGGACAAAAGAGTATCCAGAAGTGTACTCTTCTTATAATTCCTGTGCACATTAATTTACAACCAGAGTTCATTTTAGTAACAGTACATATATATCTCAGTACTGCCATTTTCATATGAATTTTTAAATGGGGGTAGCATGCTTGCATGTTCCATAGTTTTTCTTTTTACCCTACCATTCATTTATCATTTCAAAATATAATTTTAAGCTTATTGCCTGAAAGCATTTGCCTATTACTTATTTAAAAATCAACCCCATTACTTCAGATTTATTTACAGCCTCGAAGATGGAGTTCCAAGACCAGCAGGAATTGACTCCTTCAACAGCTGAGCCTTTAGACAAGAAGGAAAAGGAGTCAGAGAAACAAAGTAAGCCTGGTGAAGACCTTAAACATGCTGCCTTCGTTTCTCAGCCAGAGACAACTAAAACTTACCCTGCTCAAAAGGACATGCAAGGCACAGAAGAAGAAAAAGCCTCTCCCGCTTTGTTTGGGCACAGTCTCATTGCCAGCCTGGAAGACGTGACACAGAAGACAGAACCAAGCCTAGTAGTGCCTGGCATTGACCTTCCTGCAGAGCCTCCAGCTCCCAAAGAACAAAAGGACTGGTTCATTGAAATGCCAATGGAAACAAAAAAAGATGAGTGGGGTTTAGTTGCTCCAATATCTCCTGGCCCCCTGACACCCATGAGGGAAAAAGATGTATTTGAGGATATCCCAAAATGGGAAGGCAAACAATTTGATTCCCCCATGCCAAGTCCCTTTCAAGGTGGAAGCTTCACTCTTCCTTTAGATGTCATGAAGAGTGAAGTAGTTCCAGAAACATCACCCTTTGCCTCTGCCTTCTTACAGCCAGATGACAAAAAATCTGTGCAAGAAACCAGTGGCCCAGCTACTGCCAAAGATAGTTCTAAAGTTGAAGAGCCCCATAAAGATAAAACTGACAGAATGGCAGAAGTACCAGCCTCAGAGGCAATCACCTTACCCAAAGATGCTCACATTCCAGTTGTGGAAGAAAATGTTATGGAGAAAATTTTAGAGGGAGAAATAGGGGTCGTAAATCAAGAGAGTGTGCAGAAAAAAGATACTTTCACCCTTAGTGGACCGGAACCTACACTTACTGAAAAGGAACCTCAGCTGAAGCTTGAAGAAAAAACAACCATTTCTGACAAAGAAGCTGTTCCAAAAGAGAGTACACCCCTAAAATTGGCAGACGAAGAAACAGGCATAATTCAGATCTCCACAGAGCACACTTTCTCAAAAGAACAGGAAGGCCAAGAGTCTACTGCAGATATGTTAAAACAAGACTCATTCCCTGTAAGTTTGGAGCAAGCAATTACAGATTCAACTATGACCTCTAAGACACTGGGGAAAGTCATGACCGAACCAGCTGCATTAACTGAAAAGAGTGTAACCCAGGAAATTTTTGAGGAGAAAGTTACCGACAAAGCTAATAGGGTCGAAGGAGTTGGGGCTGCAACATCAGCCGAGCTTGACATGCCATTTTATGAAGACAAGTCAGGAATGTCCAAGTACTTTGAAACATCTGCCTTGAAAGAAGAAGTAACCAAAAGCATTCAGCCAGGCAGTGATTACTATGAACTAAGTGACACTAGAGAAATTGCCCCTGAGTCTATTGATACCGTATCTCCCGTGCATAAAAATGGCGACAAGGGATTTCAAGCAGAAGATTCCCAGCCCAGTGCTCCGGCACAGGAAGCAGGGTACAGTACTCTTGCACAGAGTTATCCACCTGAGTTACCTGAAGAACCCAGTTCTCCTCAAGAAAGAATGTTCACCATTGATCCAAAAGTGTATGGCGAGAAAAGGGATCTCCATAGTAAGAATAAGGATGATTTGACACTTAGCAGGAGTTTAGGACTTGGTGGGAGATCTGCAATAGAACAAAGAAGCATGTCAATCAATTTGCCCATGTCTTGCCTGGATTCCATAGCCCTTGGATTTAACTTTGGTCGGGGTCATGACCTTTCTCCTCTGGCTTCTGATATTCTAACCAACACTAGTGGAAGTATGGATGAAGGGGATGATTACCTTCCAGCCACCACACCTGCAGTGGAGAAAGGCCCTTGCTTCCCAGTAGAAAGCAAAGAGGAAAAACAGACAGAAAAAGAAAAGGCTACTGGAGAAGAAATTACTCAAGTGGAGACATCATGTGAGTCACCTTTCCTAGCCAAAGATTATTACAAAAATGGTACTGTCATGGCCCCTGACCTGCCTGAAATGCTAGATCTGGCAGGCACAAGGTCAAGATTAGCATCTGTGAGTGCAGATGCTGAGGTTTCCAGGAGAAAATCAGTTCCGTCAGAGACTGTGGTTGAGGAGAGTAGTACTGGTTTGCCCCCTGTAACTGATGAAAACCACATTGTTGTAAAGACGGACAGTCAGCTTGAAGACCTGGGCTACTGCGTGTTCAATAAATACACAGTCCCACTCCCATCACCTGTTCAAGACAGTGAAAATTTATCAGGAGAGAGTGGTTCCTTTTATGAAGGCACTGATGATAAAGCTCGAAGAGATTTGGCCACAGACCTTTCATTGATTGAAGTAAAACTGGCAGCTGCTGGAAGAGTCAAAGATGAGTTCAGTGTTGAGAAAGAAGCATCCCCGCATATCTCTGATGACAAATCGGGACTGGGTAGGGAATTTGACCAAGAGAGGAAAGTTAATGATAAGCTAGATTCTGTACCAGAAAAGAGTGAAGAACTTGCTGACTCAAAAGAACATGGCAAGGAAACAGAAGAGGCTGTTGATAAAGTGGAAACATTTGACTTAGGAATAACCTACGAACAAGCTCCAGCCAAAGAACTGACAATATCAAAAGATGCATCATCTGAGAAAGCAGAGAAAGTCCTTAGTTCAGTGCCAGAGGTAGCTGAGGTAGAACCATCCAAAAAAGCTGACCAAGAACTAGATTTTGCTGCCCAGACAGCTGCCCAGGGTCAATTAGATGTTAAAATTAGTGATTTTGGGCAGATGGCTTCGGGGCTAAACATAGATGCCGAGAAGGCAACAGAGTTTAAACTTGACGCTACACAGGACCTGAGCCCCTCATCCAAAGTGCCTCAGGAGGCAGATGCATTTATGAGTGTTGAGTCTGGCCACATGAAAGAAGGTGCCAAAGTCAATGAGACAGAAGTCAAAGAGAAGGTGGCCAAGCCCGACTTGGTGCATCAGGAGGCTGTAGACAAAGAGGAGTCCTATGAGTCTAGTGGTGAGCATGAAAGCCTCACCATGGAGTCCTTGAAACCTGATGAGGGCAAGAAGGAAACTTCTCCAGAATCATCTCTAATTCAGGATGAGATTGCCATCAAATTGTCAGTGGAAATACCTTGCCCACCTGCTGTTTCAGAGGCTGATTTAGTCACAGATGAGAGAGCTGATGTCCAGATGGAATTTATTCAACTGCCAAAAGATGAAAGCAAGGAAACCCCAGATATATCTATCACCCCCTCTGATGTTACAGAGCCATTGCTTGGAGCAGTTGTGTCTGAACTAGCAGAGGCTCAACGTGAGGAGGAAGAGATAGAAGCCCGAGGAGAATATGATAAACTACTCTTCCGCTCAGACACCCTTCAGATTACTGACTTGGGTGTCCCAGGTGTCAGGGAGGAATTTGTGGAGACCTGCCCAGGTGAACACAAAGGGGTGATTGAGTCTGTCGTGACCATCGAGGATGATTTCATCACTGTAGTGCAAACCACAACTGACGAAGGGGAGTCAGGCTCCCACAGTGTGCGCTTTGCAGCCCTAGAGCAGCCTGATGTGGAAAGGAGACCGTCCCCTCGTGACGAAGAAGAGCTCGAAATAGAAGAGGCAGCTGAAGCCCAGGCAGGACCCAAGGATGGTTCCCCAGAGGCTCCAGCTTCCCCTGAGAGAGAAGAGATTGCCCTCTCAGAATATAAGACAGAAACCTATGACGATTACAAAGACGAGACCACCATTGATGACTCCATCATGGATGCTGACAGCCTCTGGGTGGACACTCAAGGTGTGCATTACTTTTTTTTTTTTTTTTTAATTTTCTACTCCCAAATCAAACCCAATAACCTAATGGGAAAAAAATTTTTTTTCACTTTAAACTTTTAAAAATGTCCCTTTATCTCTTTCTTTTGCATTTTGTTAAATATACGAAGGACATTGTACATTTGTTACTAATGTTTTTGTTGTTATTGTTGTCATGATTTGCTTTGATCCGCAGATGATGATAGGAGCATCATGACAGAACAGTTAGAAACTATTCCTAAAGAGGAGAAAGCTGAAAAGGAAGCTCGGAGATCATCTCTTGAGAAACATAGAAAAGAAAAGCCTTTTAAAACCGGGAGAGGCAGAATTTCCACTCCTGAAAGAAAAATAGCTAAAAAGGAACCTAGCACAGTCTCCAGAGATGAAGTGAGAAGGAAAAAAGGTTCATTTAACAATCACTTCTTTAAAAATGTTTTTGAAGTAATTCATTACTACTCTTTTGTAGAAGAACTGCCTAACAGTGGTAACTAATTATTTATGAAATTTCGTTTGGTTTTGCTCCAACTGTTTATTTTTTCCTGATGGTATGCTTTTTGTGTTTTCTTATTCATAGCAGTTTATAAGAAAGCTGAACTTGCTAAAAAAACAGAAGTTCAGGCCCACTCTCCCTCCAGGAAATTCATTTTAAAACCTGCTATCAAATATACTAGACCAACTCATCTCTCCTGTGTTAAGCGGAAAACCACAGGTGACTGTTCAATTCTGCAATGTGACTGGCAAACATAGACATGTATTTTTTTTATCTCATTACTGTAGCAGCTTCTCATTTTGTTTTTCTTCCAAGAATCTCAGCAGTCATGAACAATTTTACTATTAAGTGTCTTGTATCATTATTCTTTCTTTTTTTCCCCTCCTTGCAGAAGAGGTCATGACCATCTGTTTCTTTGTCATGCTCAGACATAACAGTGCGTGATTGTATCTTGGCATTGTGCTCTAGTGTCACGTTCTGGGGATTCCTATTTTCATTGTGTGTGTTTGGTTAGACGATGGCGATGAATTTAACCGTGGTATGCATTCTCATTATTTTGCTTATTTATCTCTCTCATGCTTAAACCCATACATATTTGTTCTATTTTCTACTTTGTTACTGCCAAATCTGTTACTGATGTTGATGAATTTACTAAAAATCACCAAGAATGCATAGTGATTTAGACATTGAAAATGAGAAGCAAACCTGGGGTGACATTGTGATTTGCAAAATTACTTTGCTTTTGGTGAACCAAAAAAAAAAAAAAAAAGGAAAATAAGCTTGTCTGGTAATCCCATCAGATTTTTTCCTCATATCCAAAATTAGCAAGGTTTTCAATCCACTGAACTACATCTTTTAGCTGATGGTCTGTCATCAAGATTTTCTTAAATATGCTGAATCCAAACTGCTAAATTTTCTGATATAATTCAGTATTCAAAATTCTAAGACAAAATCCCTTCCTCCTTAAAAGGAACTTAAGTTAGAAATAAACTTAGGTTTATTTCTATTTTGCTAACTACTTATTTTTCTTCAAATACATATTTTTACTAAGTTTAAAAAGGTGGTAGATCAAAGGAATAAGGTGTATTAGAAATCATCATAAAAACTCATGCAAATGTCTATAATGCAAACTTTATTTCTAAATTTCAGTGCAAAGTATTTATGTATACCAGGATAATCTTAATTTGCAATATATTTTAGTGTTTGTTAAGTGGCACACTTATAGTCTACAAGATATAAGGTTGCTAAATCAGAAAGTAATATTTTTCTTTCCATTATATGTCTTAAATGTCTCTATATAAAGCTGGATGATTTTAAAGGTTGAGAGCAGCATTAGTCTTTGTGAGAAAAAGAAAATCAACATAATTGATGGTTTTATGATAGTAACTAGAAATTCCAAGTATTTTGTATTTGTGTTCTTCATCTAGGAATCATGTCATGTGCTTTCCTTCAAGAACAAGTATCTGAAGCAGGATTCGAAAATGAAAGGCTTATATATATACACAAACCTTGATAGAGTTTCAAGATGAGGAATGCCTCTAAGTTAGGAGTTAGGAATCAACACAGCATCTCTAAATCTTGTATCTTAGTTCATTTCCTCAGGTTTTTAGCCTTGTTAAACTTGGAATTTTTCTTCCAGTTAGACAAATGCTTGGGCAAGCAGAATCTCTTGGGTTGGCATAAAAATCCTATAACCTACCTGTAAGGATGAAAGATGTCATCAGGATTGTGGCATCTTAGAGAAATGTGAAATGGTTTAGTAAAGTGTTTACATGTCATGGTTTTTAATTTGCCACACTGAAATAAATTTTATTTTTTATTTATTTTTTAAAGGAAATTTAAGGTCTTTGGACTTATTAAGATCTTCCTTTATTCTAGTCAAATACTCTAAGAGAAAGCATATATCAAACATAGGTGACATTGGTTTGAAACAAGCTATTTATATCACAAGAATTTGAGGTATGATACAGAGGCAGTACGAAGACATTGTTTGCACTGCTTCTTTAAAATAATCAGTTCTAGAATCTGTAAATAATCTTACTAGCTAGCTCTACATAGCATAAAGCATATTGCAGACAGTTATTATTTTTGTGCTAGAACTGCACATGGCATAAGAAACCTTTTTGAACTCATTCAAAGGACTTAGAAGGATATGTATTTTTTTCTGAGGGTTTCTATTGTATGAAAGAAAATTAAGGAGAAAGTAAATACACAAGCTTGAATATTTTCTTTTCTAAGCACAATTTTCAAATACAGATGGCTTTTCAAAACAGAATTGTTTTAAATCATGAGAAATATTTAAGTCAAATTAGGTAAGCATGAACAGAAAATATGGTAGAGATAATGGAGTTCAAAATTGAAACCAGAAGTATAAAATAGCAGCAAGAGAAACAACAGTAACAGATGTGGTAATAATCTCATACAGGAAGTGCACGTGTAGAACATGTTATATATTTACTGAACTTAAAATTTTCTCTGGTATTTTCTGTTGTTGACAAGCTATTTTTCTTCCCTTCTCATGTGGTACATTTTCACATCAAACAAGTGTGTCATTTATATTGTGAAAGGAAGGAGAACACAGGGAAAGGGGTTGGCTGAGCATGACAGTTTGGAATGTAAAATGCAGAAATATCTGCAGGTATGTCGGTGGCTTCCAGAACAAGAAGAGAGTTTAGAAATCTCTCTGAGCAAGCACTCTTCTATAGCATGCCAACCCTAGACACCGATCAGCTCTCTTTTCCTTAAATTCTGTAGCATTCCCATTGCTATTCTTATAACGTCTGTTCTAAATGATCTTTGCTCATATACTAGTGATTCAAAGGTATGTTGGTAACCGATAGAAAATTATTTGGTGTGCTTACCTGTTCTTGAGTAGACACTGGATTATACTAATTAGCACACACCACAGTTGGAGCCACATGCTATGCTATTGTTATTCAGGTTTCTTTAGTTACTGAATTTGAGTCTCACAATAAGCAAAATTTTGCTTTGCATTACTTTGTTGACATAACAGAATATTCAAAGGGTATTGAAAAAATGCATTTTTAGCCACTAAGTTTAGAGTTGTTTGTTTGTGTCTTTTCTTTTCAACAGCAGCAGGTGGGGAATCGCCTCTGGCTCCCAGTGTATTTAAACAGGCGAAGGACAAAGTCTCCGTGAGTAAAATAAGTTTTTCCTTGTTCTTCATTTGCAGTTCCTTTGGTATTAGTTGCAACATCTCAATAACTTTTGATATTATTTATATATTTACTCTTGAAAGTCATTTTAAATCATTCATTCACCCAGAATGATTCTCAGGGGTGTCCAGGCATGAATTTTCATCTTCTGGAAAAACATGTGACGATAGTCAGTGAGGACCCAGCTGGGCTGCCTCTTGATTAGTAAGATAAAAACATATAAAGCAGCAGCACAATGATCTCGCAAAAATAGGAAAGCCTAATTTATTTACTTTTCATAGAATCAAATTAAACTATTATAATCAACCTTAACTATATTTTATAATACATTTTCATTGTTTTTGCTACAAAATAAAAATATGACCAAATGAAGCAATGTAGACAAGCAAAAAGAAGTAAAAAATCATTTATAGTCCCCTTATATAAAGATAACTACAGTTCTCATTTTGATATAAAAATCTTAATTTTTTCCTACACATTTATAGGTTTAATAACAAAATTGAAAACACTGTGTATTGACTTTTTAATTAAATAGTAAACATATTTCCATGTCATTAAACATTCCTGTAATCAGTTTAATGACTATACAATATTGCATTCTATTTATTTACAATGATATACTTGATCAACTTCCTATTATTGGATATTCATATTATTTGTCACTGTTGTTATTTTAACAATATTATTGTAGAGATCTTTTTGGCTAAGTGTCCCGTAGGATAACTTCCTACTGGTGAAATTATTGTTTCAAAAAGAATGTTTATATTCAAAGTTTTTGCTACATATTGCCAAATTGCCCTCTAGAAAGGTTCTGTCCATTTATACATTCTGCAGCTGTACATCAGAGTGTCCATATTCACTATAATTACTATATTTTTGTATATTGTTCTGTATTTGCCAAATGATGGCAATGAAATATATTATTATTTTAATTTGGTTGTATTAATGGTGTTTAGCTTCATATGTTTACAAACTTTTTCTATTTCTTCTTTTGTGAGTTTTATTTTTATATTATTAACCACATTTTAAAGACCAAAGCCAACAGGAATTATGTTTACCCCTTTATGATTGAAAGAAAAAAATTAAATGACTACTAATAAAAATCCCAAATTCCAACAGATAATTTGAATGATATTGATTACTAGCTTATCACAATATTCTCGATCTCAGCAATCATACATTATATATAAATCACAATTCTTAGTTTAGTTTCTCAAAATGAATAAAATTTTAGACTTCTGCCTTTATTTATTGTGAAAAATAATGATTCATTTCCAATGACAGCCAAACCTTTGATATCATCTTGAACTCTGAGGGCTTTTACGTTGATAAAGGAAGATAATTGATTTTCATGTGTTTTCAGACATATTCCAGAACATATGGCGAGCAATAGAGTTTATTGCGTTGATAAATATTAATATTAGGCTTTATTTTAAGCACAATGTGATTTCAAGATCTATATCTCTTTACCTCTGTTTCTGATGGAGAACTAGTGAGTTGTGGTGGTTAAAATCAGGGTTATGAAACAGAACATGTCCAAATCTTGAACATCTATTAGCTATAGGACCTTTTTCTTCCAGTGTTTTAAATTTCTAAAGATAAAGTGAAGGAGAAATTCTTATATAATAAGTGAGTTGTGAAAATTAAATCTAGTAATTTTATAGAGCAGTATACAGTATAATGCCTAGAACATAGCATTCATCCAATAAATAGTGATAGTCATTAGTTATTATTTTAATTATTTGAATGGTGGAAGTTTTTAAGCACAGACATAGAAAATAAGTCTGAACTTTCCCTCTTTTGGAAAAGAATTTTTAAGTGAACATTATTTGGAAAACCTTTAGAAAATTTTTAAGTCCCCCGGTCTTTGAGTAACTCAACGGAATCAGCATTTAATGCTTACACTTGGGACAGAAACCATATGCATCGCCTGACACAAAACTAACTTTTTTTCCTTTTAAATGTCCATGTCATCTTTCTGAAGAAATTTGTCCATCATTCTTTCCAACTATTTTTCATGTGTTACCCTCTTTTTTCCTTCCTAATACCTCATCCTCATCCTGTAAGTTTCCTTAAACCCCAAGATTAACTCTTATTTGACTTATCTCTGATAATCCCTACATACATGAGAACAGTTCTCTGAATAGTCAATTGCTCTTTATTATGAACCTGACCTACACATACTCGTGCATTTCATTTGGGTTTCTGTTGATGTTTGTTTGTTTAGCATTAATAGTTGTCTCTCTTAATGTAGAGTCAATCCAATCATTTCATTTTTGTTTCTATATCACATTTTTGAAATTCACTCTTTTGTGAATAGGATCAATTAAAAAAAATGACTTATGCCAACCCAATTACATTTTCTACTGAAGGTACTGGGTCTGTAAAACAAACTATAAATGCTTATGTCTCTGTTGTGGCTACAAAGGTTAAAACTTGACATAAAAAAATCTCAGTTTTATCTGCTATTTTTGCAACAGCTAAGTCAAATTAATTATTTGAAGATAATAATCTTCTTGGCTCTGTCATACTTGTCTGTATTTTTAACAGTCTCCCATGAGATGTGGCTTGCCAGCATAGCTTTCTCCAAAAGCCATACATCCAACCCAATTATACTTGCAAACATTCTCCCCAGGTGTTATCAACACCTATAAATTAAATCTCATGATTTTTATGGGAAATCTCTTCTGTGCTGACTGTCCATTTTAGGATTTATAACATATCATACAGACTATAGTCTGTGCACAAAAATGTTATTAATTCTATGGTATAACTTAGTCCCCAATATGTGTTTTACTCATAAGAGGAACTCATTATATATAAACTCCGCAATTTTTCTGATGAAATCAATGTAGATTATCTGAAAATAAATTTTCTTAATCTTTAAACAAAATTTTCCATTATTAGGCTTCAAATGTTCCTCGTTCTAAAGTTCTTGAAACATGATCAAGATGTAGATTATACGTACACCTCAAAGCTTATGTTTATTAGAGGAACAATTCCAACACACTGGATATAGAAAGATATTTTCCAAATGTGATATCTTTGTATGGCTTATATTACAGATTAATTAGAGACCATATACATAGAATCCATAAGGAATCTTTTATCAATATTCTCATTAAATGAGAGAACTATATATAAAATCATCTATAAAAACCAAAATTTAGACACTTAGCATTATCTTTTAAACCAGCAAAATAGTTTTGTTAATTACTATTTGTAATATTCTTTCTATCTTAACGATTATTTTATTTAAAAAGAGAGAGAAAGACTTGCTTTGATCTCAGAATTTCACAAAGCCAATGCCTCCACATCTAAACAATATTATTCTTTTTTATCCTTCTGCCCATCCATTCATTCACTCATCATTTATTTAAAACTTATTCATTGTATCTTCACTATGTACCAGACATAAACAGTCACAACATTTGGAAGCAAAGGAGAGCAAGTAACATGGATATCTGTTCTAGACCTGATTAATATAAAGTCAAGTGGTTTAGCAGTATTTTTGTTTTTGTGTATAGCAGACATTTTTATGTGAGTATTGTTTAGTTCCAGCTCAAAAGGTTGTTGAATGAATATCTGTTGTTCTCAGCTATATATACATCTCTATCATTGATTATAACCATTATCATGTGTTCTTAGTAAGGAACATTTAATTTCTTATATGTTTATACTTTTTAATTTTCTTTTTACTTCATAGTTTGGTTTATTTTGTGCTTTTGTTTGTTTTCTTTCATGGCTAGAATTCTACTTTGTCAAAGATTCCTGCTTTACAGGGTAGCACAAAGTCCCCAAGATACAGCTCAGCCTGCCCTAGCACGACTAAAAGGGCTACATTTTCTGACAGTTTTTTAGTACAGCCCACTTCAGCAGGCTCCACAGACCGTTTGCCACACTCAGAATCAGGGAACAAGGTAAGGCAGCAGCTCAATACAAGGTGCAGAAAGGAATGTAGTTTATATAATTTGGGAGAAGGTTATAGGACACAATTCAGGAAATGTATGAAAGCAAGGACTTTAAATTCTAACTTATTTGACAGATAAAAAATAGACCTGTTATAAACAAATACAAATGGAAAATTTTGATAGACAGTCTACCTAATTTAAAAAAAAGAAAATGTCTTTTTCTAGATATAGTATCCATTAACTTATTATTTGACTATCTTATAAAATATCAAATAAAAACTAACAAAACAAAATATATTCTATTACATATGATATATATAGTATTGTACAGTATAATAACAAATTATATTGGGTACAATATAAAAGCAATTTAGACTCAACATCAAATATATCGTGGTTTCAAACTACCTCTGCCACCTACCAACACAGTGACCTTGAAAAAAACTACATAAGCTCATTAAACCTGTTCCTTCAGCTTTAAAATGTGCATAATATTTTGTGATGAAAATCAAATCATAAATGGATATAAAGTGCATAGTGTTCTTGTCGCATAAGTGCTCAATATATGGAAGCGGTCATTGTTAGAAATATGCATGCAATGAGTTATTGTCAGTGTTTTCTGATTAATAAATTATCATGCTAGTAAAGATTTTTAGTCAAATTAGTAATTTGCTGGAGATTTTGCTTGAGTAAATTCATTTTACCCATATTATCATTTAGAACTTGAACTTCACAATTAATTATGAGGACTAACTCCAAGATAACATATTTATATAAAACTTCTAGGCAAATATGAACTCGTTCTAAGTCATAAAGCAGAAATGCTTGTAAGTGTATGAAATTCAGTACTGTGTATTAAAAGAAATTCATCTACCAGCACAGAAGGAAAAATAGCTAGAGCAATGTAATAATTTCATATAATTAAAATAAAGATTCACAAGAACTCAAAGTTCTTTTGTTTTCCCCAATCAGGATGGAGTAACCAAGAGCCCAGAAAAGCGCTCTTCTCTCCCGAGACCTTCCTCCATTCTTCCTCCTCGCCGAGGTGTGTCAGGAGACAGAGATGAGAATTCCTTCTCTCTCAATAGTTCCATCTCCTCTTCAGCACGAAGGACCACCAGTAGGTCTATTTTGGTTTGATTTCTTTTTAATCATTTTTTTAAAAATCCTGTAAGTGTAATAAAGCTTATTGTATATTTGTATATTTTTGTATATTGTATATTGTATATTTGTATTTTAATTTTTCTAAATAAAATATGCATGAAGAATAGATTATATTTGTACTAAGCATCAGAAAATCCAGACTATAGATGGTTCCAAAATAGCTATTTGAGTCAAAACAATTTATAGAGGAAATGGGAACATACCACCTTATTATCTACTAAGATTGAGATAAAGTTATTTTTCTAAGACTATATTTCCTCTCTTGCTTCAAATTTAGAGCAAAAGGGCACAGAGTACCTTTATTTGATACATGAAAACTGTTCACTAAAAGAGGTAAAATTGTTTTGTTTCTCCAGGAGATTGAACCTAAGCTAATGTACCCATTTACAATGTCTGTAGTCACAATTATCTAAGAAACTCTCTTAGGCTCACTCTTTGTAAATAGTTAAGCAAAGACTAAATGTCCCCTTCTCAGAAAGAATTTCCTGCACTGATGAGCAATTGAGTTAGATGACCTCTAAGATTCCTTTCACTTTAATGATTTTAAAGTCAAGTTATAGGTTTATCCTCTACGTAATTTCAGAAGATTCATTGATTTTACAAAGTATACATATTCAACAGTAAAAAATTAAAATTATGCCTTTCCCATAAAAGTTGTAAATGAAATGTGAGTGCTTTAAAAAAAATGTAAATTCTCAGAAGTTAAATGTTACATCTGGCTTAGAATTAAGCAGCATCTGGGTAAATAAGTGTCAATATTCTCATTTCTTAATTAGCAATAATAAGAGCTGCCCTTAACTACTATATTGTGCATGTTTGTTTGATTATCAATTGTTTGGTATTTACAAAAGTGCTTTGAAATCTACGTGTTGTATTCTTATTTACACAATTCTTTCAGAAAAGCATTTGAAATGTCATTCAAAACACATTCAGAAAGATAATACAAGAGAAACATAGTACAGGAAAACGGGGTGAAATAATCAAACGAGGCTGAGCTTAATCTGAGGCAAAGAAATACATCTCAGAAGATCCTAAATAATTAATAGTGCAAGATTATGAATTTAACTGTAAACTGCCAAACCAGTGATTAAAACAGAGGAAAAAACACAATCAGGTGCAAAGTTCTCCAGGAATATATTATTAGGACATCCCAATATTCTAAAGAAAGAAAGAGACTTTTTTTGCCTTAAAGCACTGAGATAAGTTTCCTTATAAAGGGAATACAAGATATAGTAGAATAATGTCTAACGGCTTACGTTAAACACATCTGCAACTCACACTGTTCCTCAATATAAGCTAAGGCAGTAATATTGAAACATGATTCAATAAATACCTTTCTACACAGACCAAAACCATATGATCTAAATAATGGTTCTATGTTGTATGTTCGCCTGGACCTCAGAATGAATTTACTACATAGAAGAATGAATGATCCACATATTATTCAAGGAATCTTCATTAACTGTGGGTCCACATACAATATTAAATACAGATGCTTTTTCCAACTAGAGGCAGATCCATATGCCTTAATGATTACACAAGTAGACAATGATTTTGGACACATTCCTAATAAAAATTAAAGAGAATAAATCAGGAAAAATCAGGTTTTATCTTTGTGTTGATGGCAACACATGTTCAAAAGAATTTCTCTAGGTTATGAACCTAAAGAAAGGAGGCTCTCACCTTTTTGAGCATTACTGTAATAATTTGTACATATTTCTAAATGCCTTAGAAAGTAAACATAATATGATTCTAACAATCTAGGGAAGAGACATGTTTTCAGGAGAACCTTCTGATGCTGTGGTTTGATTTTGACCATGTCTGTTAATATAGGGTCAGAGCCAATTCGCAGAGCAGGAAAAAGTGGCACCTCAACGCCCACTACTCCTGGATCAACTGCCATCACTCCTGGCACCCCACCAAGTTATTCTTCACGCACACCAGGCACTCCTGGAACCCCTAGCTATCCCAGGACCCCTCACACACCAGGAACCCCCAAATCTGCCATCTTGGTGCCCAGCGAGAAGAAAGTCGCCATCATACGTACTCCTCCAAAATCTCCCGCCACTCCCAAGCAGCTTCGGCTTATTAACCAACCGCTGCCAGATCTGAAGAATGTCAAATCCAAAATCGGATCGACAGACAACATCAAATACCAACCTAAGGGGGGGCAGGTAAGAATGACATGAACACATATTTGCTGCCAGAAATGAAGTCTCATTAATTATTATGTTGCCTTCCTCATATTGTAAACTAACGGTTCTTAAAAGGGAGGTAGAGGTGTTAAAGAGTTACTGGTTTCAATTTAATGCTAAGAATTTGGACTTTATTTGAAGCTACCCCATAAAATATAATGAAAATAATATAATGTGTCCATTCGTTCCGGTTATTATTGGAAAAAATTTGATTTAACCATATAGGAGAAACTTTTAGTTGATTAACAGATGTTTTCTGAATGTATCTCTATTGTTTTGTGGACTTTAACTTAAGGGACTAAAGTTACATTTCTGATATAAATTTGAGTTTTCTGTTTTATATTCTGACCATTAGCTCATTTGGCTGTCTTTTAGTGATTCCAATTTTATCTCCTTCCCAAGGATTTCCTATGACGTTTTCTACCATTTCCTCATGTTCACTCCAAAATATGAGTTTGCTTCATCAAGTTTCTCCTTTGTCTACTATTGACCAAGCATTGTAAAGAGTGGGCATTCATGTCGATAATAGGCAGCTCTGTCGGATTCTGATGAATAAAATTGTAGCCTTTAAACTTCTGCTTAAGATTAATTGTACTGAATAGAGTTATTAGTAAAGCTCATTTACTAACTTTTTTTATTTCAATAGATTTAGGGGTACAAGTGGTTTTTGGTTACATGAATGATTTATATAGTGGTGAAGTCTGGGCTTTTAGTGTACTTATCAACTGAATTCACTTATTAACTTTTAACTTCAACTCCAGAGCAAACATCCATATCTTTTGCAAGCAGGAGTCCTTGAGTTCTGTCTTGATCTGAACCTTGCTTATATACTATATGTTTGGACAAAGCAATTAGCCTGGAAGGAAATTGTGCAAATATTATTTAATATTTCCCTTATAAGATTGATCTGCATACAAAATAGTTCAACTTCTATGATTGAAGAGATAAAAGAATACATCCATTCTTGAAAGAAGGGATGAAAGCAGTAAGTTTATACATGAGCAAACTTGTAATGCCCTTTCAATATTCCACAAAAGCCTTTTTTTTTTAAACTCAATATTTTTTCTGCCATTCTTTTTCTTTTCTCATATTTTCTGTCACTGATTTCTGATATTCCTCCTTTGTGCCAAAGAAAATCTATTTTCAGGCAGGTTTAGAAGAAAGATCTTGCCAAAATGTAAAGCTATGAAGTACTCCTACTCACCGTTGAAACAAAAATCCAATATTGCTCCTTCCTTTAGCAACAAACTTCTTTGCTGTCTCAGGATTCTGTTCAAGAAAGCCCAAGGAGTTGAAAAACTAACCAATGGGGCAGTAAGGGAGAGATCAATATGCCCTTTTTAGAACAACTATAACCTCCTATAATAATATAGTCTTAGAGAGATGCTTTTTGTAGAAAGACATTATCAAAAATATGAGCTTTAAGAAACTTTTTTCAGATAAAACCCACTTATGAAAGAACTTTTTAAAGCAAAAACAGAAAATCAAAATTCTACCAAATTTAAGCTTCAAACTAAATTCCAAAAGACTCGAGCTATTCTTGCATTCATCAGAATTTTGCACATCCAAGAGAAGGAAATATTTGGGGCCTTTTGGAAATATCCCCTAAATGTTGCATTATTTTTATATTTATACATAAATAATTTAAAGGAGTAAGTTGAGTAAAATCAATTTAGTACCAATTAGAAACTTCTTCATTTTAGCTTGTGATGAGATAGCCCTTAAAATAGAGTAACTATGATATATATTTAAAAATCAATTCTCTTTTTATAAATATCCCCCATGTCCTAATATTCTCTAGAACAAAATGTGGGCTTTACTTGCTTATTTTGTAGAAAATATTGGTACTTAAAAGACTCTATTTCTTATTAGAATCAAAAGGAAATATAAATTATCTCCAAGATGATATTGTATTAAAACTAAAAAGAAAATGTAATAAAAAGGGAAAAGTTACTGTTATAATTTGACATAGAAGTTTAACAATATGTGATTTTGTTCAAAAGACTCCTTAAGGTAGAGAAGCAAAAAGAGTGGTTTTAGCCTCAGCCTTGCAGGACTCTCTACGATTAAACCAATCCATATATACAAAAATATCTATTTTCTTTTTCTACTTCTTTATCATATCTAGTTGTGAGTATTTTTATGCTTGATTTTAATTGATTTCTACTACATTTGGTAATTCATAAAATTGGTATAAAAGTGTCTTACTCTGTTGAGCTGAACTCAAACATCTCTAGAGATTTTGATAGTTAAGGACTAATAAAGACATATGACACAAAAATTACAGAAAGAACAAAAAAAGCCTCAAAATCACAGTATCATTTGAAGAAAATCTCTTTTTTCATCAGGCAAGTGTTAACTTGTTGCAAAATTATTCTGTCTCAGCATCAGATGACTTGGAAAAAGTCCATAACAGTGGAGTTATGAAGTAACTTTTTTGCAGAAGCAAGAGATATTTCCTCACCAAGATAAGAAACAGATGGACGATATTTGCCTTCTATTTTGTGATAGATGATATAAATGCATTTAAATTGGAGGGTAAAATGAATTGGAAAATTGATATGCATTGCAATTGAACTGTCTTCGTAAGAAAAATATATTACTCAACACTTCAGCACTATCCTTAAAAGCCTCTTTACAGTGCATGATCTCAGATACAGGGAGTGAGGGGAGGTTTTGACTCTATAGAGTTCCCACTTTATAGAATGATTGGAAAAAAGTTTTGTGTTACGGTTTCTTAGAAATTATGAAGATGATATGTTAAAGTCCCTTATTATCTGATTGAATATCTATAAATGCACACTGTTGAAAAAATTGAAGCAACTAACATGTTGTCCCCAATTGTAAATTGATTACCTAGGACATTTGAATGATTAGTGGCCAACCTAGTATCATTGAAAAGGACAGGACAATAGCTTCAGGAGCTTCCTGTAATAGTGATATGTGGTCTCTAAGTATTGAGAGACAAGTTCATACAATTCTTAACAGGGAAGATAGGAGAAAATTTGAAGATGTAACTTTAATTCGGTTCCTCTGCACAGGCTCTATGGTGGTAAAACTTGAAGTGGTTAGGTTGTGTGTAAATGATTAATTTCGAAATCTTCATTATTGTTTTAAAATTTGTGTAATCACTAAGAATGGGAGTGGAAACTCTTGTGTTTTGGGGCCTAAATAACTCCCCAACTTGGGGAACTTTATTATTTGCTCCCTATTCGAACATTTATTGCTCTTCTGTATGTATCGATTTTGTGCTTATAGCCGTTATCTCTTCTGTCTAAGTCTAATTTTCTGTTGGCAGAGAGGCTCAGCTCAGTGGTTCAGGTCAGCGAGGCAAATCAATGCCTAATGGAATAGATACACTAGTTAAAGGTATGAGAACCTTTACAGAAAGCAATGAAGTTAATCTTTCCAACTGAAACACAAATTCATTCTACTGGAAAGAATATATGCAATCCTGGATTCACTACAGATAATGAGATTCGTGCATTTAACTCAAAGCATAGGTAGAACTGTCTTATGAAGTGTATTAATTTGAAACTACTCTATGTAGTTAGCTCCCCAATCTACATTAAATCTAAATTTTAGAATAAATAATATTAGTTTTGTAAGAACACAGCTGGGCTGCTTGAATTAAACAGAGATAGAAAAATAAACAATTTCTCTAAACACGTAGCATAAAAAAATTTAAGCAACAACTCATTGAATGGTGCTTTTTACCTTTTTTATCTATGAATCGGGATTTTTTTATAGGTACTTTGATTTACATGGAATATTCCTATATGTTTTTGACAGATTTCTCATTTTTTCTCCATTGGCCTTATGAAGATTAGTTTAAAAAGCACAAGTTATACTCTCATTTCTCTTCAGAGCGTATAAATCTTTTGCCTTTTAGAAAACACAAGTTATTACATATGCCCTTGTAATAGTTGAAAGTTACTGATGAAACAGTTTCACAGAGATCTTTTCGTTTACTTCTTATTGGATAGAGTGGTTAGTGAGATCTCGATCTCTGCAAGGCCATGTCTGTGGATTTGATTGATTGCCTTGGAAATTATGCGCTCTTGCTTCCTTCATGATTATAGTCAGCCATTTTCAGGTCAGTGAGGCTAAAGATGGTGGCATCTTCAAGCAAGTCATTCCTGTTTAAAGAAAGAGCAGTACTCATCTTTTATATAAAGAACCTTGTAGAATTTGTCAGTGTATTACTTTCCCAGTCAATGTTGCCCTAGCATCTTTTTAAAAAAATTTATTTAGATAAATCCATTAGATTAGAAGCATATCATCACATTTTAGAAATAAAGCAATCTAGTTTCTATCTCTCACTTCTATATGGATCCTTTGAATTAAAGGATATTGGAAGTCAGAAATATTCATCTCCTTCTAGTCCAGCCCTCACATTTTCACAGAATAGTAAACAGGTGTTTTCACGTTACCCACATCTTCCATATGGAACTTTTAATATCATCCTTTAATAGCTGAGCTCTAAAGTCAGAGTCTGTAATTTATATTTAATGAATAATTAATCACTTATCTACCAAGTATATAACTTTATATACCTTAATATTTCTTGTTTAACTTTTGTTACATAATATGAAAATGGTAATTTTATTAAACAATGCCTTCCATGCCAAGGTTTTTATCACATCAGGGTTGAAATTTGGAGCTTCTGAACTTTTATAATATTTTTTACAAAATAATGCAAATAATGTGTTATATGATACACTATTAAAATATGTTATATTAATATACTACATTAAATTTGTAAAGTGATATTGCATTTTTATCATTTTTTTCCTGCAACTGACAGATTATTGTTTTAATTTTAAAATTTAAGATTTTAAAATAGAGTCTAGTTAGCTAACTTTTGAATTTCTATAGATAATATCAAGGATAATTATAAGATATTAATTCTAGTATCAACCTTGGAATGTTAAAAATAATAGAGAGTTGTCTATTTCTTTGATAATTCCAGAAACTCA